GTTGCCGGAGCCGCCGGAGAAGGGCTGGCAGTTCTGGCACAATGGGCGATACCACCAGAGCAAGCTGTGGTTGGTGGATGTCGACAAGGCTTTGCCCAGCATGTTGTGCTTTAAGTGTGTTTCCCTAAACTCATATAATTCCGAAGGACTCTCGGCACGAGCCCCACATGCCGGTGCCAGCTGCAGTGGAGGCAGTGCCTTTTCCGGGTTTGCTGTGGGCATAAAAGACTTTCGTGTGCATGCAGGAAGAAGAAACCCGAGAGCACGACGATCCCGAGGCTTTGGCTTGTTTTCTTGCATTCCGATTTGTTTTGGGCATATAAGACTGTCGTGTGCATGCAGGAAGAACAGGGCCCAGAGCATCAGGAGGCATTGGCTTGCTTTGTTCCATTCCGGTGCATGCTGGCTTGCCTGCGAGCACATCGGCCCTGCATGCAGCCATCATGCCGAGACCTTTGCAGGATCCCGTGATCGTGGAGGAGGCGGCCGAGGAATGCGGCATGGAGGCTGAGCAGGAGCTTCAGCACTTGCAAAGCTGTGGCAATGTTCATGCTGAGATTGCGAATATCTAGCCTCCGTATATATTGGTTCTCATATATACATATATACATATATATATATATACATGTATAGATATTTCTGTATAAATGCAATTATAGGTAAGTGTATATGTAGATACATATATATATATAGGTATATAGGCAATACAGGTATAGCTTTTTTTCTATTACATCCTTATGTACACATATAGACACCAAGGGTTCTTGTATATTTTAAGCCCAAGGCCTAAAAACCCCAACCATACACCAAACCTTAAAACCCTCAACCCACCTTAACACCCTTCGATCAGGACCTACCGGAGGAGCCCCTCTTCGAAGAGGAGGTTGGGTTCACACGGGTCTTGGGAGCACAGGCGGTTTCGTGCATGTCTTCCTGAGGACGAACAAGAGGAAGTGTGCATCGAGGAGGCCCATGCACCGTCTTGATGGGCTCTGGGTTGGGTTGCTCTGCTCCTTTCGAACTGAGGAGGAACCTGTGCTCCACTGCCCCAAGGCCTGTGGATGCCATTCTTGTGAGACCTGAAAAGAATGGAGCACATGCAGGACTTGGCTGATGATGATGATGATCCCGGCCACGAGGCGATTGGGTGCGGCATGTGTCGGCAGTTTCGTGGATCCTGCCGTGTTCGAACCCAGGGCACACAGCTGGCTGTGGTTAAGCCGAAGCAGAAGGCCAATGGTTTAGGGTTTCGGGTTTGGGGTTTGGGTTTCGTGTGTTGCAACTCCACATGATGCAAGCCACATGGCGCTTTTGCAGGCCCGACCCGGGAAGAAGCTGGAGCTGGCCAAGCAGGCAAGGACAGTGGGTTGCATCGTCTGTTTTTTTTGTTGTGCTCTTCGGGAAAAGGAGACGGCCCTCGTGAAGGTGCCGACCAAGGCTATATAGGGTTTGATGCCTGTGGCATGGTCGCCTGGCAGGGCCTGTTGGCTCGCCGGCAGCACATGCACAGTGACATCAGTGATGTGTGCTGCAGGGTGGCTTTGTGCAAGTGCCCAGCAGCTTCAAAGCACCGTGGGCTTCTGGAGGCAGTCGTGTCATCATGCTTGGTTCACACGGCAACACCATGGCAGTCCTGTCAGGTGCTGCGAAGCCTCAGGGGGTGCAGGTGGCCGGCTTCCTCACGGAAGACGGGCAGCTGTTCCCTCCAGGATGCGGTCGCACCCGTGCCCGGACTAGGGGTGGCGGTGCTGCTAGGATCGCTTCGCAAGCCATGGAGACGGCGAACAAGATGGCTGGTGTCATGAGCGACCACATCGCCCTGCAGCGGGACCAGCTGCGAGTTCAGGACAGGCATTGCAAGTGCAGTCGTCCTTTGTTTCAGTTGCCTCTGTGCTCCGACATGCAGGAGCGGATGTGGGCACCCGGCCAGGGCCAGCTGTCTCAGGCCATGCACAGGCAGCCTTGGCACCCTTTCTTTTTGCATTGGGCCCCGACGTGCAGGGCTCGGGCTCCAGCTCTTCCAGGGCACCGCCGGCGGAGGAGGATGTGCCATGGTCATTGTGGTGTTCGGCTTCTGTGTGCCTTTTGCAGGACTCGTGGTGGGACCAGGAATGGACCTACCGCAAGAGGCATCGACGTGGGTGAGCAGGGTCGGC